ACCAGAGCGGTGGCGTAGTCAAGGCGGCGGGTAGAGGCAAAGCCAGCGACACCAGCAACAAGGGCGTCAAGGCACGAGGCCGGAACGGACGGGTCGGTAACGAGAGAGGCAAGGACGCGAGGAACAAGAGGACGAGCGGCACGAAGGTAGTCAGACAGCGGGGGGGGTGCAACAACAAGGGAGGACGGAGGAGGCGACGGCAGAAGGGGAGGACGAGACGCGTGGGAACGAAGCAACATAGGGTGGGAGCGCAGGACAGGCGAGGCAGGACGAGCACGGGAGGGACGGTGAGACCAGACGTGCGACGGAGGAGTCGGGTCAGGAGACAGAGGAGGGGACACAGGAGGGGAACGACGGGGGAGGCGGGCCGGGGACGAGTCCGGCGGAGGGAAAACAGGGCCGTAGACAGGAAGAGGAGGAGACGGTCGGGGAGGAACCGACGCAGGGTCGGGGGACGGCAGGCCGAGCAGGCGAAGGGCTGACACCGGCGGGGACTGCTGCTGCGGCGGCACAACGGCGACACCGGGACCGCAAGCTGCTCCTCGGCTACCCCCGGCACTCTCCACACCAGCACCCCCAGAGGGACCACCCCCAGGGCCACCGGGACGAGCATCCCCAGAGTCAGCGAACGGGTGCTGCGACGGCGGCGGCGGCAACGACGGCTGCAGCGGCGGCAGAGGCGGTGGAGGAGGGGACTGGGGAGGGGCCAGGGGAGGGGCAGCTGGCGAGGACTGCACAGGAGGGCCACCAGAGTCAGACGACTCCTCAACCGGGTCCACCGACGGAAGGGGGGTGATGTGGGACACACCAGAGGGGGTGGGACAGGGAGGAGGAGGAGGAGGGGCAGGGACTACCGGGAAAGGAGGGACCAGGAACAGGGGGGGGTAACCGGGGGACCACGGTGGGGGAAGCGACGGTAGTAGGAGACGGACTCGTCAAAGGTGACGTCACGAGAGTGAAAGAATCGGTGAGACGGCGGGTGGTAAAAGTGCCAGTCGGACGCGTCAAGGGGAAAACCGAGGAAGACGCAGGGAAGGGTGCGGGCAGTGAGCTTGTCCGTGCCGGAGGCACGAACGTGAGCAAGGCAGCCCCAGACGTGGAACGCAGACGCGTCACCAGGAGACCCAGTCCACAGACGGGTCGGCGAAACCTGCGGCTGCTGAGGGTGCGGCCACAGGTTAAGCTGGTGAGAAGCGTAGCGCACAGCGAACGGCCACAGAAAATGGGGTGCACCGGCATGGATCATGGAGGTGCGAGCCACCTCCATGACCAAACCGATGCGTCGCTCAGCGACCCCATTCTGCTGTGGGGAGTCCGGTAGGGTGAACGTCTGGGTGATGCCCTCTGCACGACAAAAGCGACCAAGGACACCTGAGGCAAACTCGCCACCACGGTCTGAGTGGAGACGCAAGACAGGGAGACCGCGGTGGACACGCGCAGAGACAAGCCAAGGGATGAGAGCGCCAGGCACGTCAGCCTTGCGCTCCAGGGGAAAGACTGTGGTGTAGCGAGTGAAGTCATCGACGAGCACAAGGAAGTAGCGCTCTCGACGCGGCCCAGGGACGGGGGCGGGGCCCCAGACGTCCAGGTGCAGGGTCTGCAGCGGCGCGGCGGTAGGGGGAAACGAGGAGGAGTGAGGGGCACGGCGAAGCCGACCCTCGACGCAAGGCGTGCAAGGTGGGGCTGGGGAGGAGGGAAACGCAGGGAGAGAACCTGGGAGACCAAGGACAAGACCGTGCTGGGACATGTGACGCAGACGCGGGAGCGCAGGGTGACCTAGGCGGTGGTGCCAAAGGAGGGTCGGGTGAGTGAGAGACCGACAAGAGCAGGCACCAGCAACCTGGGTGAGCGCTCCAGCCGGGGGGGTCACGGTGTCCAGAGTGAACAGGCCGGACACCGGGTCCCGGGGGAACGTGGACAGGGGGGCACCAGTGGCGGCCTCGGTACAGACAGCATACCGCTCGTGACCAGGGAACGTATTGCTGACGCCAAGGTCCTGGAGGCAGCCGACACCAACTAGGTTCCTGGAGAACGAGGGGATATGCAGACCTGTAAGAGAGCCCGAAGGAATCGTCGGACAGGGAAGGATGGTGGAACTGCGGGCAACGACCGGACCGCCAGAGGGGTCAGCGAGAGAAACGGCAGCAGGGACGGGAAGCGGCGTCAGGGTGGTGGAGTCGCGGAAGAAACAACGAGAAGCGCCAGAGTCCAAGGTGAAGGAAAGCGAAGCAGAGGCGTCGGGCGACGGAACGACGGCGGAAGCACCAAGACTACACAAAGCAGGGGATCCTACGCCTGACGCAGCAGGGGAGGCTAAGCTAGGCACACCTACACTAGGCAACAGTGAGTAATAAGCTGGAAGCACACTAGAGTCATCAGCATACATCACATGCAGAGCAGAAACAATGGCATCCATGTCCATATCAAAGATCTGAATCTTACGACTAAGCAAACTGTGCCAGTCCGGGAGGTCTGGCAACGGGCCGAAGCGCTGACGAAAGAGGTCGTCCAGGCGACGAAAACAGCGGGGAGTGGAGTGACCGATCTTACCGCAAACGAAGCCGCGGCGAGGACCGGTCTGGATCTGGTACTGACAACGCCCGCCGCCAGAGCTACCACTCGACACACCACCACGCGCCCGGCCACCGCCAGCGCCGGGCCACCCGGGCGGGAGGACACTCGTCTGCCGCGTCTGCGACGGCTGCTGCGGCTGCTGCGAAGGCTGCGACTGCGGCGGCTGCTGCGGCTGCTGCAACTGCAGGGGCGGCGGCTCAGCTGAACTGGGCAGGGTCCCCTCGTCCGCTCCAGCAACAGACGACCCGACCCCACCACTACCCCCTCCCGCACCCCCGCCTCCGCCTCCGCCGCGCCCAACCTTGGGGCGGCGGCCCTTCCCCGAACGAAACTGCGCCGCAGCAGCAGTCTCAGCCACTGCGACAGAGCCGTCGGCGAAGGTACACTGGGCGGGGGCACAACCCTGAAAGATAGGGACAGGCACGACACCGCTCGCCTGGGCGATGGAGCGGTGACGGGTCTCTATCACAGTCAGGGTGTCTACAAAGTCAGTGAGGGTGAGGTCGGCAGGGTGAAGGCTAAGGAAGCGGTCGCGGGCGACAGCAAGGCGGTCAGGGAGGCGGGTGGCAAGCAGGTAGAGGGTAGAGGTAATGGGCGGCTGGTGGGCTCTAAGCTATGCGTCAGTGCAGGCGGCGCGCCAGGTCTCCTCTATCGAGCGCAGGTGGGCAGCGAGGTCAGAGACAGTGGGGAAAGATGCAAGGTCAGGAAAGAGCATCGGAAGGATCAGGTGACCCACCGAGGCAGCCGGAGGGGTGGAATAGCGCTTGATCACAGCATCTAAGTATGCCTGAGCAGTAGTGAGGGACCTAAAGCGAGGACGCTCGGATGGGGGAAGGGCGTTGCTAATGGCAAGCTGGTCAACAGCATCGCGAGAAAGCCAGACAGAGCGCGCACGGGCAGTGGCAGCAGTAGACTCACGCTCAGTGGGTGTGGGGTCAGCGGGCAGAATAGCAGGGGGGTCTGGGCAGGGGAGCGTACCGTCAAGATGTGCAGAAAGCGGTTCACCATCCTGCCGCTGGCCAGTGAGTTGGCGGCGGAGGTCGGCAAGCCACGCCTTGAACTCTAGGGGCTGACCTTCAGCGTCGAAGCGAAGCTCCGCCGCCATCAGGAACAGTCCAGTGCGGTGCAGGGCAGTGCAGCTAGGTGGAGTGCGGTGCAGTGCGGTACAGTGCGGTGCAGTGCGGTGCAGTGCGGTGCAGTGCGGTACAGTGCGGTGCAGTGCGGTGCAGTGCGGTGCAGTGCGGTACAGTGCGGCACAGTGCGGCGCAGTGCGGTGCAGTGCGGTGCAGTGCGGTGTAGTGCGGTGCCAGGCAGTACAGTGTGATGCGATGCGGCACGGAGCAGGGCGGGGTGGGGGGGAACTGTACCAGTGAGGAGGACGGGGCCGGGGCTGGCCCGACGAGGCCGGGCGGGCGCGACGGGGCCGGGCTGGTGCGACAGGGCCGGGACGGGGCGACGGGGCCGAGCGGGCGCGACGGGGCCGGGCTGGGGCGACGGGGCCGGGCAAGTGCGGCAGGGCCGGGCCGGTGCGACGGGGCCGGGCGAGCGGGACGGCGGCCGGGCGGGTGCGACGGGGCCGGGCGGCTGTGACGGGTCCGGGCAGGGTGCGATGGGGCCGGGCGGGTGCGACGGGGCCGGGCGGCTGCGACGGGGCCGGGCAGGGTGCGACGGGGCCAGGCGGCTGCGACGGGGCCGGGCGGGCGCGACGGGGCCGGGCGGGTGCGACGGGGCTGGGCGGCTGCGACGGGGTCGGGCAGGGGCGACGGGACCGGGGGGGGTACAACGCGGCCCAGGAGGGGCGCTACGGGGCCCAGGAGGGACACGACGGGGGGCCCAGGAGAGGCGCTACAGGGGCCCAGGAGGGGCGCAACGGGGCCCAGGAGGGGCGCTACGAAGCCCAGGAGGGGCGCGACGAGGCCCAGGAGGGGCGCTAAGGGGCCTAGGAGGGGCGCGACGGGGCCTGGGAGGGGCGCGACGGGGCCCAGGAGGGGCGCTACACGGCCCAGGGAGGGCACGACGGGGCCCAGGAGGGGCGCTACGGGGCCCAGGAGGGGCGCGACGGGGCCCAGTAGGGGCGCTACGGAGCCCAGGAGGGGCGCGACGGGGCCTGGGAGGAGCGCGACGAGGCCCAGGAGGGGCGCTACGGGGCCTGGGAGGGGCGCGACGGGGCCTGGGAGGGGCGCGACGGGGCCTGGGAGGGGCGCGACGGGGCCTGGAAGGGGCGCGACGGGGCCTGGGAGGAGCGCGACGGGGCCCAGGAGGGGCGCTAGGGGGCCTGGGAGGGGCGCGACAGGGCCCAGTGAGGGGCGCGACGGGGCTAGGGGGGGGTCGCGACTGGGCTAGGGGCTAGAGGGGTGAGCGGAAGCGGTAGGCGGGGGGGGATCCTACCTACGCGTGATACCATATCAGAATTGAAAATTGAATAATGGATAGAGTGAGAGTACACAAAGATATACCCAAGTGTTGTACTCTCTAAGAGGCGACCCTATACAGTCTATACAAACATGACAATTACACATGTTTGACAAATACCACCTCACCATGCAGCCACCATGCTCCCAAGAAGGCAACTGATAAAAACGGCAAACTCCCACTCTCATGGCTGATGGCACTTTGACTGGCTTATTCTCTTTCTCCATCTGCTCCACTCCACAGCTTTTTCCACTTTCCAGGAAATGCCACTTACGTGTACTGGTAGCCAACAATGCATCTCAATTTCATACTGAACCTCCCATCCATCCCACACCCCTCAACTCAACGCACAAATTCCTGGATCCAAAACAGGCCACCACACCACTTGGCATCACACCAGCACACAGCAAGCCAGGTGCCACAGATGCCATGTCAGCACTGCCAGCAGGGCATGAGTCACCACGCTCTTGAGCACAGTCAGCACCCGCACCCGCCACTGCAGCAGCTGCTGCCGCTGCTGCACCTCCTCCCTCCCCACCCCCTCCTCCCCCCTCCCTTCCACCCCCTCTGACTCCTGTGCTGGCCTTGCAGCAGCAGCACTAGTAGCACCCATCTCTTGAGCCACCCTTGCTGCTCCCTCGGTGACTAAGGAAGATACCGCAGCAGCTGTGGGTTCAGTGACTGTCGCAGCAAGAGCGGCAGCAGAAGCAGCAGGGGAAAGGGGCCCCTCGCCAGTACCCTCCACAGGGGCAGGTGCAGGGGCGGGAGGGGTCTGTGGGGGTGTTGCTGGTGCTGCTGGTGCGGTGGGGTGCAGTGCCTTGTGGCGGCGCAGCAGCCAGGAGCGAGGGCGCTTGTGGCGAGGGGTGGGCAAGGAGGGGCTTTGGGAGAGTGCTGCAAGATCTTCCATGTTCTGATGGGGGGAGGGAGTGGAGGGGGGAAGGGAAAGTAGGGACTAGAAACATTAAAAGAGGAGTGGTAGAGGAGCCTTGAGAGTGTTGAAAAAACTTCCAGATTCCGATTGGGGGGGAAGGGGGAGAGAGGGGGAGGGGGGAAGACGGTTGCGAGTGTGTACGTTGTGGTGAGGGGTGGGAGTGGAGGGGTTGTGAAAGAGAGAGTGCTGAGGATACCACAAGGGATTCCTCTGTGTTATGCACTGGAGGGAGAGAGAAAGAGGGGTGGGGGAAGATGGGAGAGGAAAGTTAAAGTGGAGAGAGACTGAGTGAGAGATAGTGCTGTGGGACCGAGGCTGAGCGAGAGTTTCATGGTGTGGAGACAAGAACTCCTTGCGTAATGAAGTGCGAGGATGAGGGAATCCAAAAGAGCATGCAGAGGGATTTCCACATGCGACACAGTCTTGTGACAGTGGCCGCAGCAGAGCGGCTGCAGCCATGTGTTATGAGTCTATTCTTGAGTGGCATAACACAGCAGAACCGCTGTGGCATAACCCAAAAACAGACTCATAACACATGGACTGTGGCCGCCGCAGCAGAACGGGTGGAGCCACAATGTGAGTAAGATAGATGGAGGGGTTGCTATTGAACAGCGGCTTACTCAGACCCTCCATCCATCTCACTCACACAGTTTCGGACCGGCTGCAGAATGAGAGCCAGCAGTGCCGCCAACACCATTGCTGCTGCCAGCGAAAGGTACATATACAGCAGGAACATACCCATGGCACTAGTTCCATCAGTCACTCAAGACCACACCCATCCCACTCACATAGCTCAGCAGCGGCTGCAGTATGAGCGCCAGCAGTGCTGCCAATACCGTCACTGCTGCCAGCAGCCATAGCTGCAGCTCATCCCCACAGTCCCCCACACCCCCTCCCATTCCCCCTGCCGCCGCTGCCCATCCCCCCATGCCCTCCCCCTCGCCCTCCGCACCCACTCCCCCTGCCCTCTCCGCCCATGCCTCCCCCTCTCCTCCCCCACCCCCATCATCTTCCCCCCCAGCTCCCCATGCAGCAGGGGGAGGGGAGGAGGAAGTGCGGAGGGGGGAGAGGGGAGTGTGGGAGTGTGCAAGCGAGAGGGAGAGGAGGCAGAGTGCTGACGTGGCAAGGAGGACCCTCAGGAACGTCAGCTCGATCAACGATGCCATCTGGGCAGACGAACGGGCAGAGAAAAGGTTCCTGAGCTGCCCGAGAGGAAGGAATGTGAAGCAGAGAGTGAGAGTGTAAGTGAGTGAGAAAGCGGCCAGGTGGGCGGTGCGGATAAGAGCCGGCACGAGGAGAGGGGGGGAGGAGGGGAGGGAGGAGAGGTGCGAGACGAGGGGGACGGGGAGGACTAGGCGTTGGAACCAGAGGGGGAGGCGGGACATGAGAGCACTGGCAGGGAAGGGCGGTTTCACCATCTCCCACTCGCCCCACTCCTTCTCTGCTCTCTCTACTCCCCCTTTGCTGCCTGCCTTGGGTCGTACTGATCGGTAGAATCGTACCCCTTCAACCTCCATCCACACCTCATTCCCCATCTCCTCTTCCTCCACCTCCCTCACTCCTTCCCCTCTCCCTTCACCGTCCCCCCCGGCTCTTCTCATCCCCTCTGCAATCTTCTCTCCAATGCCTTCCACTGCCTCCCACCCCTTCTCACCACTCTCCCTCACTCCCCGCCTCACTTCCTCTGCCTTCCCCCTCGCCCCCTCTTTCACTCCCTCCACTGCCTCTACTATCCCCTCGCCTACTCCCTCTGCTTTCTCCTTCACCCCCGCCTTCACTCCTTCCGCTTCTCCCTTCAATCCCTCTCCAAACCCCCCTACCTTCTCCCGTAACTCCTCCCATCCCTCCCCAACCCTCTCCCTCGCCTCCTCCCACACCTTCTCAGCACCTTCCTTCACCTCTTCTCCCGCCTTGCTGCCTGTCTCCCTCGCCTCCTCCCATGATGTCCCAGCACTTTCCTGCACCTTCTCAGCACTTTCCTGCACCTTCTCAGCACTTTCCTGCACCTTCTCAGCACTTTCCTGCACCTTCTCAGCACTTTCCTGCACCTTCTCAGCACTTTCCTGCACCTTCTCAGCACTTTCCTGCACCTTCTCAGCACTTTCCTGCACCTTCTCAGCACTTTCCTGCACCTTCTCAGCGCCCTGAGCCTCATCCCCCCCCCCATGCTCCATCTGAACAGCTTCCCTTGCCACGTCATACACAGGCCCCAGGAAGGCAGAGGGGGCTGCAGAATCCGGCGGTGCTGGTGCATGTGCCTCCCCATGAGTGTGTCGGCGGAGCCCCTCCTCCACCACACACTTCCCCACCCCCTTCACTCTCCCACTCACATCCTCCACTGCCTCCCCTACCCCCTCCACCACCCCCTCCACTCCCTCCCTCACTCCCTTCACTGCCCCCTGCACTCCCCCTTTCACTGCCCCAACTGTTTTTTTTCCGCCCTCCCACACAGTCTGCCCGGCCTGCCTGCACCTATCAACCGCTTCCTGCCCGAATTCCGCTGCCCGGTAACAAAATCCCACAGTGGTGTCCACAGCAGCCTGCCCGGCCCCATGTGCCTTCTCCCAAGCTGCCTCTCCAACCGCCTCTACCTTTTCTTTCGCTGCCCGGCCAGTTGCAATTACGGTGTCTCGGGCAGCCTCAGCATCTTCCCTGGCTGCCCGGCCGCTCTCCACCACACGTTCCACAACACGCTTGCCAGCATCCTTCACCCGGGCAGCAGCGTATCTCACCCGGGCAGCGAGAAACTCTTCCGCGCTGATCACTTTCTGCCCGGCGGCCCGTAACTGAGAGAGGAACAAGTCAGCCATGTCCCACACCTTGTCTCGTGCCACATCTCCCAACCCCTTGAGCCTCTGTGCAAGCCTGTAGCGCCTGCCAGCAGCACCACCACCTGCTGCCTCCGTCTCCTTCCCTCCCCCCTCTCCCTCCCCTCCTTCCTGTCCATCCTCCCCCTCCTCTTCCTCCCCTTCTGCGCCCATCCCAGCGCTTTCCACACCCTCCTCCCCCCTCTCGCTCAACATCACAACCACTGTCCGCACCACTGCATCCGCCCTTCGCCTCGCCTCCTCCCTCACTCTCCCCCTCACACTCACCTCAGTGCCCCTGACCCGCTTCTCACCCTCCTCCCCCTCCCCACCAAAGTGCACCGTCATTTCTTCCTCCACTATGGAAATAAAACTCCTGTCAGAGAAGGCTTTCTGAGCTGCCCGGGCTGCTCGGCGAACAGACCCCAGGGAAGCGAGCAGGAACTGGGCCTGGCCGAAGGCATCTGAGACTGCCTCCTCAACCGTCCTCTCCACCGCCGCATGCCACTCCTTCTCTGCCTGCTCCTTTTGCTCCTGTAGCTGCGCTGCCTTTTTTCTCTCCTGCTGCTCCCTCTCTCCACCTGACGTCGCCCCCTCGGCAGGGAGAACAATCCCTGCTCCCCGCCTGAAGCCCTCCGCCTGCTCGGTTGGAACACTGTAAGCAGCGCCAGATACCACCTGCTCCAGGATAGCCTCCGCAGGGAGGTCCGACTGTGCAGGTGGGATCATGCGGAGGGACGGATGGGCTGCTGCAACAGAGGGGGAAAGAGGGAGGAACACGGAGGAACACGGAGAAAAGAGATGGGAGGGGGAGAGAGAAGAGACAGGAGAAGACAGACGTAGAGGCAACAGTTAAAAGAGAAAAAAAACGCTAATTCGAAGTTGAGAAGCCATGCCGGAATCATGCTCTAAGAGCCTACCACAAACGGAAGGGGGAGCAGGGGGAGGGGAAATGGTCAGCCGCAGGGCGCCAAATCAAAACAGTGGCATCATCAACTAGGTCCAAAGGTCATAGCTTGTAGGATATTTCCAGATTCCAGACAGCCTTGACTGGCATAAGCAACTTCTGATAAAAGATCCAGCTACCTCCCAAAAACAAAACGACAGCCCCGAGTGCTAAACACTTCCTATCCAGCGTCCACTGTTTAAAACTATCCGTTTCGCTGCTCTATACGCCTCCCAAGATCTGGCCAGAACAGGCCGAAGGAGCGGAACCAGGAATGAATCAGCATACCTGCACGTTGTGATTCTTTCAAGAACTGCCAGCAAATACCCAGAACTCGGAATTAACCTCAAGTCCAAACCCTTCTTACCATCAGTATTCGCCTAAAAGCCTTCAAGATTGTCATGCGACTCACCGCCATCAGCTGTAATGATGAAGGACGGCAGCCCCAAGCGCTGCCTGCCCCCCACCCATCCGCCACTGATGCCTGCGCGGGTGGGGACGAGCGCGGGGAGGAAGATGCGGCGGACTTCCCCCGGGAGAGCGAGGAGGACGGGGGGGGAGTGCGGGGAGAAGAGGATGGCGGAGATGAGAGAGGAGAGGAGGAAGAGCGCGGAGGCCAGGAGCGAGGCCACCATGGCGGAGAGCCCAGGGAAGGACGGCGGCGGAGGAGATGGCGTAAGAAGGTCCAGGGTCGCTGAGAACGGAGAAAGTCGCCAGGAGAAGAGGCCGGTCGGGAAGTGCAGAAGGGAGACGGGTTCGGGCCAAGAACGCCGTTCCAATCCAAGTGCTTAGAAAAGGGCGCTTACACTGGGCGAGGTCGAGAGCTAGGAACAAGATCCCGGTGCGTCGATCAGAGCAGCAGATTCGCGTCCATCGGAACGTCGATCAGTCGGAGGACGCCAACTAGAGAAAAGCGGACGCAACCGATCGCCTGGATGAAAGGAGGCGAAATCAATCTGGAACAAGGAGGTGGAAAGGACGCCATTCTGGGCGACACGCTTAGCGAGAGGCGACGCTTGTTCCTGCTCGGGTATGTGATCCCATCATCCTGCCGCTAGGCCGAGCCGCGACCACTCCATGTCGTCCATTCCCTGTAACTCTTCCCCATCCCGGCCTCCCCAATCCACTGCTTGCTGCAGCGACCGCGCGATGGTGCACGCTGCCATCGGCTGCCTTGGGCGAGACCGCGCCGAGTGAGCAACAGCCTTCTCGCTGATCGAAAGACGAAGCTTCCAATTCGCACAGCCCTCGCCATATCTGCCAGCGCAACTCGCCAGGCGTCTGCGACGGCACTGCTCGGCCATGTCGCGTCAGCATCATCCTGGCTCGTGGTGGCTTCCACGCTGCACCTCTGCATGGAGGGGAAGCACGCGCTTTCCGCCTCGCGAAAATACGAGTCGGGAGCTCGAGCCTCCTTGCCATGACGGTACGGCAAGCTGTGCTATGTCTGCCAGGTGTCATAAAGTGGTAAGTGGGACTCGCTAGGGCATTTGCGGTTGAATTAGTCGCATGTCATGCAGGGAAGTATGCTGGAGTGTACCACCTGTTTCCAAATGCCGCATATACCGTGAGTTGCAAAATGACACCCCAATATGGTGCAGCAAAGTAAATCAAAACACGTGCACGAACTATGGCACACTGACATAAACCGGTAGCAACATAGAATTTCACACGCTGGCAGCATGGCACTATCACATGAGGCGCTCGCAAGCAACCCCATCTCTGGTCTTCGACTGTTCTTCACTGCATGATCACTTTTCTTTTCTTCCTTGCTCTCAACACCATCTTCTTCACTGCATCCGCATCTTCCTTGGTGCAGAATGATGAGTCCACATCTGCCACCACAGTTTCCATGCGGCCCTTGGGGAAATTCGTCTCAGAAGGCACGTGGAAAGAGCTGTATTCGTCAATCTTGTGCTGCTTCCCTTTGGCTGCCCGTTTCCTCTTTGCCATTGAAGTTTTCTTCTTGCTTGGTTGTTCTAAAGAAAGTGGATCCTGCCAAATGTAAGCAAAACTGTGAGCTTCACCACCAATCATCCAAAAAGGCATGAGCATCCCATCTCCAGCTTACCTCAAGTGCTGGTGGGCATGGCATCATATTCGTGAACTCAGCTTGCTCTGATATCCAGTTTTGCTGATTCTGCAGTGTCACTGGCCAAGCCTCTCCAGTGGTCTCGCCTCTAGGAATGCTCAGACAGATAGGGCTGCCAGAAACGACACAGATGAAGCACGCGAAGGCAGCAAGCACACTGAACACTCAAAACGGCATGAGAGCCTCACACCTTAGTTGCATCATTTCATGGTTTTGGTTCTTCGTCACCTGTAAAACAATACTGTGTGAGTGGGCAATGAGGCAGCGGGCGAGAAGTAGAACGCAAGAGAGCAAAACTCGTGGTACCTGCATGAAGTCAGTCATCTTTCCTTGAGGACGCCTTTTCAAGTGATCACGTCCATGTGAATAGTGCTGGGGATATTCCCGTCTGTCATCCACCTTCGCCAGAGTATTTGTTTCCTTTTCTTCCTGAACAAAAATCAAGAAATTAAGTAATCTCAAGGGAGAAAACTACAACAAATAGCACTTACACGCTGTTGACTCCTCAACATGCTGGCATCCATGTTATTAGACATCTCTGAGCGAAGTTCTCTCATGCCTCTCTGAATTGCTGACTCCACCTGATTCCGAAGGAAAATGTTTCAGCACGAGTTAAATCTACAAACATGATCAGACAGCCCTACCGTTTGAACGATGAGCTGCTGAAAGCGGCCCTCTAGTTTTTCACCTGCATGCAACGGGTCAAGCACGTTAGCGTGTTTGCAACAAAATTAAAGCAAGACGGTATCAATGCAGCATACTTGAGTGGTCTTTCAAATGCCCCAAGTCGGACTTCATCTGCGAAATGTCATCAACGATTCCAACAATTCGGTTGCACAGGGTCTCAAATTTCTGGTTCGTTTCTTCATTGCAATCTGCAAATTGTCCAGTGATGTTTGATAAAGCTATACATTTAAAAAGCATTGTCAGAACCCTTATGAGTTACTCACTGCACGGCGGTATCAATCTCTGAAGTGAAGTCAAAGTGGAAGGTTTGGAACCACGGTCCTGCCGATTCTTCACGTGCAGCAGGGGCTGTGATGAGTACCTCTGAAGAGAGACCGACGGTTGCGCCGTCCCCTGAGACACCTGTCGCTGAGAGAAGTTGATACATGCAAAATTCGACCTCAAAACGGCATTAGTGCAAATTCAGGCCCCAACGAACCTGAGAGCCTTGTGAGGCGCTTGCGTATGAGGCTGATATGTTTTGCGAGTATTGGCTGGGGTACACCACATTCGACGGCTTTGAGAATGGCATCCCGAAAGCTTGTGTGTCTGACGAGTTCGCTACTCCAGGCGAGGACCTACAAGGAGGGGTAGATAAGTTGCGTCCCGAAACTCTCTACAAGCCGAAAATCATAGAGAATTAACGCACCCAAAGAGCATCCCAGGGTTTCCTGCATTGTCCGTGGCAGGCCTGTTCACGAGGAAACGTCTCATTGCGCCGTTCCAGTGATTCCAATGCCTGCTGGCCAGAAATCCGGCACGACAGCCAACCTTGAGTTGCAAGAATGACAACCAGTCCTAGGAAGTTCCGAGATACTGTATGCTGGTTCGCCTCACTTCGAGCACCAGCTGTGAGCCTTTCCGCTATCAACAGAACTCGTGATACATGTCTCTACGGTTGGGAGCTTCGCGTTGGATAACACCTACCCTATAAACAAAATGATATGGTACTAATGAATTTTGCTACAGCTTCATTTGGCGGAAAAACACTTCCTTGAAGGGTGTAATATATTTTACGTTTATATTCATTAATTTTCTCATTATCCACTTTGACCGACGATGCGACATGACATGATGCCTTTTGTACAACCACCTTAGCCATCCTCTTTTTTCCAGTTCTATATATATTTTTCTTGTTAAAATTACTATGAATACCAATATTGACCGTAAAATTACCATTACTAGATCAATTTCCCCTATAATTCGTTTATTTCGATGTGTATGTATATCGCTTACTGTTGCTGTATTCCGGTGATGAACATGTAGTTAGGTAGGAACAACTGCTCGTAACGCGAAATATTGATTAGGGTTTGCTGGCCTAGAAGCATGAGGGTCTTTTAGCAACGCAACCGCGCTGTGTGTTAGCATCTAGGAGTTTTTCGTTACGTGATTCGCGGCAACTGTGTCCCCCCTCCATTCCCCCGTCCACCGCCAAACAGTCACAGCAAGATCCTTCCGTACTCATTCCGCCGAGCTTGCAGCAGAGGCTGTTGATCACCGTGTTACCGGGTCTTGGCACCAGCCCTGTTCGCGTTCTGTTGATCCGCGGAAGGCCCCCCGCGGCGGGCGGGCATGGCGGCGCCAGGGACGCTGAACCTGGAGGGGACGCACACGTGGGGGTCGCGAAGCATCGATGAATTCGAGAAGCTCGAGCAGATTGGCGAGGGAACCTACGGGTGAGATAGAGGGAGTTTAAATGGTCGTTGATAAGGGCATTGAACATGGAAGGAGTCGCAGACAGTTTCGACGCATCCAAGAGTGTGAAACGCTGGAGCCGATTGGCGAGGGGACCTACGGCTGAGACGACGTAGATAGATAGATGAGGACCCAAGGCAGATAGGGAGGCCCTTCGAAACCATGGAGTGAATACGATTAGTAGGAGCATCACACGATGGGGACATTGACCACGGAAGGTGAAGCAAATGACCCCGAAGCGTTGGCGAGTGTGAGTTGGCGGAGCAGACTGGCTGTGGAACCCACGGGTGAGACGATTAGCACGAATGGCGAAAAAGTGATAGTAACGGATGGCTGAGAGTGACAGAGGCGAGAATCGGGTCAGTTTGTCCAACGACGTCTTATCGAGTTAGAGTAGTTCAGCAGCGAGGCTTGGAATTGGCCTGAGGGACAGCAGCCGCGGGTGAGAGGATGCAGTCACGCCGTCGTTTAAAGAGGCGGGTGGGTGGTGCTATCTTAGTGACGGGTAGTGGCTGTACACTCCAGCAGCTGCCTTTCCGGCCAATGTAGCCGTGACAAGGCAATTCTGACGTTTTCGTAGTGAATTCTGTTCGTATCGCGCTGCTCGTTGGCATTGGCGGAGTGAATGAAAAAGATTAGGAGGGTCGTTCCCTCTCTTAAAGAGGCGAATACGAACGCGTGGCGTTGTGTGTCAGAAACAGTGGAGATGGCTGTCCGATAGCCGCTGTCCTATCGCGTCTCCTCAACCAGCCCTCACTCACTCAACCAGACGCGAGTGAGGGCTGGTTGAGGCTCCGGGCAACGCATGTCCGCCCAGGCAGCCATTCCTGGCTGGATCAGGGGGGCTGTCCGTCTAGCGACCCGGTTGCCTGTTTCCTCTAACGCCATTTGTCATTGATGCTGTTTCCTCTGATATTCCAATGTCATGGCTTCATTTCCGTCTCCGTTTTCCCCCATGACTACATCCCTGTTCCCCTTCACAGGCAGGTGTACATGGCGCGGGAGAAGGGCACGGGGGAGATAGTGGCGCTCAAGAAAGTGCGCATGGACAACGAGAAGGAGGGGGTGAGTGGCTGTCGTTGACTCATGACCAGAGTACTTGCTGAAGGCTGCATGGAGAATGAGGAACAGGTGAGTCGTGTGTACCCCCCCGCCCCATTCCCCTCCCCCTTCCCTTCTCCCTTTTCCTCCCCTTTCCCCTCCCCGCCCGCCCCCCCCACCACCCGCACCCCCCTTTTCTCGTTCTCCCAACGTCCCCCTTCCCCCAGACGTGGAGTGCGTGATGTGGTCAGAGCATGAACGCCAGCTTCCTTGGCCAGTTGTTTTGTTTGAGAGGCCTAGTGCTCGTCTGTTCAGATGCCCGTCACTGGAGGTGACTTTTGAGTCGACTCAAAAGTCACCTCGTCTGTTGATGAGATGCCCGACACTGGAAAGCATCCCGTTGCGTCGCACCGCTGTCGCTACACAGTTGTTTGTCTCCGTTGTTGGTGCTATCATGCTTTGTTTCTGCTTAGCAAGGCTGTCCTTGGCTTGGCAGCTTCCCCCAATAGCCTAATCACCGCGAGCCTCGGTTGTGCGCTCCTACCGCCTTTGCACCTTTCTCTCGCCTGCACAGTTCCCCATCACAGCCACCCGGTGCTGAGGCGTCTCAGAGACAGACCAAATAACAGCCTCTCCCTGCCTCTGCTTTGCATCTTCCTCTCATCTGCACAGTTCCCCATCACAGCCACCCGGTGCTGAGGCGTCTCAGAGACAGACCAAATAACAGCCTCTCCCTGCCTCTGCTTTGCATCTTCCTCTCATCTGCACAGTTCCCCATCACAGCCACCCGGTGCTGAGGCGTCTCAGAGACAGACCAAATAACAGCCTCTCCCTGCCTCTGCTTTGCATCTTCCTCTCATCTGCACAGTTCCCCATCACAGCCACCCGGTGCTGAGGCGTCTCAGAGACAGACCAAATAACAGCCTCTCCCTGCCTCTGCTTTGCATCTTCCTCTCATCTGCACAGTTCCCCATCACAGCCACCCGGTGCTGAGGCGTCTCAGAGACAGACCAAATAACAGCCTCTCCCTGCCTCTGCTTTGCATCTTCCTCTCATCTGCACAGTTCCCCATCACAGCCACCCGGTGCTGAGGCGTCTCAGAGACAGACCAAATAACAGCCTCTCCCTGCCTCTGCTTTGCATCTTCCTCTCATCTGCACAGTTCCCCATCACAGCCACCCGGTGCTGAGGCGTCTCAGAGACAGACCAAATAACAGCCTCTCCCTGCCTCTGCTTTGCATCTTCCTCTCATCTGCACAGTTCCCCATCACAGCCACCCGGTGCTGAGGCGTCTCAGAGACAGACCAAATAACAGCCTCTCCCTGCCTCTGCTTTGCATCTTCCTCTCATCTGCACAGTTCCCCATCACAGCCACCCGGTGCTGAGGCGTCTCAGAGACAGACCAAATAACAGCCTCTCCCTGCCTCTGCTTTGCATCTTCCTCTCATCTGCACAGTTCCCCATCACAGCCATCCGCGAGATCAAGATTCTGAAGAAGCTCAAGCACGAGAACATTGTCAACCTCAAAGAGATCGTCACGTCCAAAGGTATTGCGTCTAGCTGGAAATGTACAGCCCGCTCACTCACGCTGCATCATGCTCATGATTTTCGACTCTTAGGAAAGCTGACACATGAGCATGCTGTCAATCTCGAAGGGGAGTGATTGGCTTGGCTGGCCTCTTTCGGAAAGGCGCGGCTGCTCGTTTTGCATTGCAAGGCGGCTGGGTTGGGGTTCCCTCACAATCTATAGTGAGTGAGGGACTGTGTGTGGCTGGCTGTCACGTTGCCTCAAATTCGTGGCGGACGATCTTAGAAAGAAGCAGGAACTCCTAGATGTACAATATACGCTCAATGGGCGTCAACGGGCCTTGACTTATTCTACCATGCCTGGTCTTCTCTTCTCTCCGTACCCCTGCAGCGGAGGAGAGCAACAAGTTCAAGGGCAGCATCTACATGGTCTTCGAGTACATGGACCATGACCTCACAGGCCTATCGGACCGGCCTGGCATGCGCTTCTCCGTGCCGCAGATCAAGGTGTGTGCTCCTCGTTTATGTGGAATGAGGTAAAGTCTGTTCGTGGCTTATAAATGGAGCTCCTTTCCTCTCCTCCCCTCTTCCTTCCACCCCCTTTCACTTGTGTGTGGCCTTGCTGCAACCTTCTCACATTGTGTCGTTCTCAAATTGCTCCCTGCTCTGTGTGCTGCGTGCCATTACATGTGCCTGGCATTGCACGACCATGCCGCCCAACCCAACCACCAGTGCTACATGAAGCAGCTTCTCACCGGCCTACATTTCTGCCACATCAACTCGGTGCTCCATCGAGACATCAAAGGTCAGTGCCCGGCACCCCGCCCTCCACCCACCCCCATCATCAAAGGTCTTCTTTTTCCTTTCACGCCTTTTATGCCACTTGAGGCGTCTGCTCATGCTCATGCTCATACTCATGCTCATGCTCATACTCATGCTCATGCTCATGCTCATGCTCATACTCATGCTCATGCTCATACTCATACTCATGCTCATACTCATACTCATACTCATACTCATGCTCATGCTCATACTCATACTCATGCTCATGCTCATGCTCATACTCATGCTCATACTCATACTCATGCTCATGCTCATGCTCATACTCATACTCATACTCATGCTCATGCTCATGCTCATTCTCATGCTCATACTCATGCTCATGCTCATGCTCATTCTCATGCTCATGCTCATGCTCATACTCATACTCATACTCATACTCATGCTCATGCTCATGCTCATGCTCATGCTCATACTCATGCTCATGCTCATGCTCATGCTCATGCTCATACTCATGCTCATGCTCATGCTCATGCTCATGCTCTTGCTCTTGCATCTGCTGCTTTTTTTGTTCTCCCTGCCCACTCCTTTTCCCCTTCCTTCCCCACCCAGGCTCCAACCTGCTGATCAACAACAAGGGCGTGCTGAAACTTGCTGATTTCGGCTTGGCGCGATCTTTCAACAGCGAGGCGAGTGGGCAGCTCACCAACCGAGTCATCACCCTGTGGTACCGGTGAGAATCGTATGCCTCTTGCCAGTGCCAGTGCTGGTACCGGTGAGAATCGTATGCCTCGTGCCACTGCCAGTGCTGGTACCGGTGAGAATTGTATGCCTCGTGCCACTGCTCGTGCCACTGCTGGTGCTGGTGCTGGTGCTGGTGCTGTTGTTTTTGTTGAAGAACCTTATATTGGTGTTGGTACTGATGACTGAGACAGCTCATCAGCAATGTGTAGCTCATACCAACAGTCATTCACATGAGAGGTAGCTCATTTGCTCGGGTACCAGTGAGCAGTCGAGACGAGTATTTGCTGACTGGACTGCGGTTCATGAATCTGCTTTGAGCATTAATCTGACTGGACGAGTATTTGTCGACTCAAAGCCAGTATTTGCTGACACCGGCAGTTGAATACTTCCACAGCCCCTAAGCAGCATTGCAGCAAGCCCATCTCCTCACCTCCAGACATGTTCTCCCTTCCTCCCCCACCTCCCACCCCGTCTCATTCTCTCACACACAGACCGCCCGAGTTGCTGATGGGTGCAGTGCGGTACGGACCGGCAGTGGACATGTGGTCAGTGGGGTGCATATTTGCAGAGCTCCTGATCGGCAAGCCCATCCTGCCAGGGAAGAGCGAGGTGAGGTTACTGGTTACCACGTAAACTCGGCAGGGTGATCGATTTGACTCCCTGTGCTTAAGACTAGTGCAGGGATTCCTTCAAACATATCCGCAGAGCTCCTATCGGCAAGCCCATAGTGCCAGGGAAGAGTGAGGTGAGGTTACTGGGGCAGGGGTTCCTTCATATCCGCAGAGCTGCTGCTTGGCAGGCACATCCTTCCAAGAAAGCGCGAGGTGAGGTGAGGGCTGCTCGTGAGTCAGAGGATCCCTTGGGAACCCACTCTTGTTGTGTGCAGGTGAGGTGAGGGGATAGTGGGAAGCAAGTGCGGGATCCCTTGACCTTTGGGAACCAAGGTCAATGGTTCCATCACTTTTCGCGTAGCTGCTGACTGGCAAGCCAGCAAAGAAAAGAAAAGAGCGAGGCGAGCTTGCCCTCGGTCGGTAGTGTCGTTACCATTCTCTTAGGGAGTGCGCAAGGCGAGAGGGTCCTTTTGAGTCGACTCAAAAGTCACCTCGGTCGGTAGTGTCGTTACCATTCTCTTCGGGAGTGCGCAAGGCGAGAGGGTCCTTCCTTGGTCGGACAATGCCTCAAGACTGAGGGATTTGATTTGACTGCCATCCTAGGGAGGTGCTCCTCTAGGGAGGTGCTTGCATGAGCATAGTGGTCGATCGGCACCCTCTTACTCCATGCATGCATGCATGCGCCGTGAGTATTGAGAGACAAGGCTGCTCTGGCCCGGGCATGGCTACTTCAGTAGGCAAGGCTAGGGCCTGGCTTGTTAGCATGTTTACATCTTCATCCGCAACCTGCACCCCTCACCTCGTCATGTCAGGTGTTACCAATTTCATTTGGAGACTTCTCAAAACGAAATTACTAACGCATGTTTAAGTCTCCATCCGCCTCCCCACCCCTCGCCTGCTCTTCCCTTAACCGCCTCCCTTTCTCCTCCTCTCTCCTCCTCTCCACGCTCTCTCTCCCTGCCTGTTGTCCTGGCGGCGCTGGTTCAGATAGAGGAACTCGGCCTCATCTTCCAACTACGCGGCACGCCTGATGAGAGCAGCTGGCCGGGGTGCTCCAAGCTGCCGTACCTGCAGAGAGGGGTTGATTGATGCCCCTTTCTGCTCTTCATTCTTTCCCTCGCCTCGCCTCGCCTCGCCTCGCCTCGCCTCGCCTCGCCCTGTCTCTTGCCACCAGTTGGAGCAACTGGGCTGGACTTTCCAGTTGCGTGGGACCCGGCTGGACCAGACGAGCGCAACTGGCCGGGGTGCTTTTGAGAATTCTCAAAAGCACTGCAAAATCAAGGAAGAGGGCAACTGGCTGGGGTGCTCCAAGCTGCAGTACATCTAGAGAGGGGTTGATGCCCACTTCTCCCTTCCACTCTCTCCCTTTCTCTGTCCCTTGCCACCAGATCGAGCAACTGGGTCTCATCTTCCAACTATGCGGCACGCCAGACGAGACCAACTGGCCGGGGTGCTCCAAGCTGCCGTACATGCAGCAACACAAGAGCGACCGGGTGCTGAAGAGACGCGTCCGAGACATATTCAGAAAGTGGGTGGGAGGCCTGACGAGAAAGCACAAGAGGGAGTTGCTGAAAGCAAGGGGGGCGGGGGGGGGGATGTTGATAAAGTATTGAATTTCTCCCAGCGTTTGTTCTTCCTTCTCTTATATCCATCTCTCCCCCCTCCATCGATCGCCCCCCCTTTATATCCACTCCCCCCCCTTATCACAATCTCCTCCCATTTTTCTCCCCTCTCCTTTTCTCCTCTCTCCTTTTCTCCCCTCTCCTTTTCTCCCCTCTCCTTCTATCCTCTCTCCATTCTCCCCCCTTTTTTCCCCCTCTCCTCTTCCCCCCTCTCTGTACCTCCCCTCCTCTTACACCCCCTCTCCCTACTCCACCTCTCCAGTGTGGACAAGCATGCTCTCGACCTGCTGGACAAGATGCTCACACTCGACCCAAACAAGGTAAGTGCTGCTCTTAGTTAAGCAACTCTTGTAAGGATGGCAGCAAGGCGAAAGAGAGGGAGCAGGGATGGGAAGAGGGGGCTAGGAACCAAGAGCCGGGAGTTGGCCTAGAGAAGTGGTGGCGGGTGTATAGCAGGAGTGAGTACCAGGTGTGTAGCTGGTAGGGGCTCCAGCAGGCAGGAGGAGGGTGGTCCAACTGCTGTTGGTCCACTTGTTGTTGCCGAGTAGTTCTGGGTGGACCCCCTCTCCCATGCCCATGCCTGTGTATGCCATGCCATGCCATGCCATGCTATGCCATGCCATGCCATGCTATGCCATGCTATGCCATGCTATGCCATGCCATGCCATGCCATGCTATGCCATGCCATGCCATGCTATGCCATGCCATGCCATGCCATGCCATACCATGCCATGCCTGCGCCATGCCATGCCATGCGATGGGCTCATTCTAGTGCCATCTGTCGTGTTCTCATCTCTCATCTCCCTCTTCTCCAATCGCCAGCGCCTGTCAGCCAAGGACGCCCTCGATGCCGAGTACTTCTGGGTGGACCCTCTTCCCTGCGACCCGGGCAGGTGTGTTGTGACCCGGGCAGGTAAAATGCGTCCCAGGCAGGTGTGGTCGGATCGGGGCAGAGGTGCTGTAAATCGGGCAGGTATCTTGGGTGGTACCTGCAAAGCTATGATGGCCAATGCATGCGAGAGTAGGAGAGAGAGATTAGCATATGGGTTTCCCATTTGCTTGCTATGCCATGCAATGCCATGCCAGTATCACATTGTACTAGTAGGTTTTTTTATTTCCGTACGTTCCCTTACCAAACCATGTCATGCCATACATACTATCATCTGATCTCCCCCCCCCCCGCCCTCCCCCCCTCCCCCCTTCCCAACTTTCAGTGCCATACCCCTTACAATATGCTTCACTACGAGTCGTTTCCCAAGTCCCAGGCCAACCCCCTTCGCCCCACTCTCCCCCCACCCACCCCATCCCTGCCGTACCCCTTACAGTCTGTCTCACTACGAGTCCTCTCACGAGTTTCCGACCAAGAAACGGTGGCAGCAGCAGCGGCAGCAGGCAGAGGAGATGGCAACGAGGCAGCGGGCGGGAGGGGGAGAGGGGGGGGTTGGGGAGGGAGAGGCATTCTGCCCCCTGGTACTGCACCACTGCATGCCATGCCACCATGCCATGCCACCCCAACCAGTCTCATCCTCTGTCCCTCTCACTCCTTCCCCCTCTCTGTACCCCTTACAGTCTGCCTCAGTACGAGTCGTCTCACGAGTTTCAGACGAAAAAGCGGCGGCAGCAGCAGCGGCAGCAGGCAGAGGAGATGGCAAAGCGGCAGCGGGCGGGAGGGGGAGGGGGAGGGGGAGGCCCGGGGGGAAGCGGGCTCCCCCCACACCCCCATGGCCGCCAGTCCTCCTCTCTGCTTCCCCCCAGAGGGGGAGCAGGGGGAGGGGGAGGGGGTGGGGGAGGTTATAGAGGGGGGGCAGCTGGGGGAAGAATGCCACAGGGGGGAGGGGGAGGGGGAGGCGCAGGGGGGAGGCAAGGGGGGGCGAGCGGGGGGCATTATGGGCAGGGGGCCGGAGGGGCAGGGGCATCAGGGGGAGGGGGGTATGGCGGAGGTGGGGGCGGGGGTACGGGAGTGGGGGAGGGGGGAGGCAGGGGCACAGTTATGGGGGAGGAGGGGGGTATGGTGGAAGAGGAGGGGGGAGTGGAGGTGGAGGGGGCGCAAATCGGTGAGTGAATGGGGGGGCATGGGTGAGTGATTGGGCATGGGTTATGGAATGGGCATGGGTTATGGAATGGGCATGGGTTATGGAATGTGCATGGGTTATGGAATGGGCATGGGTTTTGGAATGGGCATGGGTTATGGAATGGGCATGGGTGAGTGAATGGGCATGGGTTATGGAATGGGCATGGGTTATGGAATGGGGGGAACATGGGTATGTGGAAATGACTTAATCTGTGTGAATGCGTTTGCAGAAGCAGCAGGAGGTGACGGCAGTGATCAAATGCACCAGACATGATGAGGCACTGATACTCGCCACGCATACACGTTTGATCACACATGCATTATTCACCATACGTCAACCCTCCTCTCTCCTTCTTGCCCCTTGTGATTCCTTCTCAGCTTGAGCTTCTTACTTCGCTGGTGTTTTGTTTCTCCTCGTCCCACTCTTCCCAACATCTTCAATGCCTCTGTCAACTCGTGACTCGACCCTCCCCTTCCCCTCATTCCCTTCCCCCCATTCCCTTCCCCTTATTCCCATCTCCCCATTCCCTTCCCCTTATTCCCATCCCCCCATTCCCTTCCCCTTATTCCTTTTCCCCCATTCCCTTCCCCTTATTCCCATCCCCCCATTCCCTTCCCCCCATTCCCTTCTCTCCATTCCCTTTCCCTCATCCGCTCGCAGTGCGGCAGCCGGCACATCAGGCGCCCGACCACTGCCGTACCCACCTGCGGTAAGACACAGAACTAGGGTGATGCGATGAGAGTGGTGAGGCAAGGGTGGAAAGGCGAGGGTTGTATGGGTGAGTCACGAGCAGCGGATGCTAGGGATGAGCAGTGCTACTGCTTGATGCTCATCCCTCTTCCTGCCATCTCCCCTGCCTCCTGTTGCCACTGCTAATGACCTCTCCATCCCTCTGGCCTCTGCGCTTCGCTTCTCCCCCCATCCTCCCCCATGTCTCCCCAGGGTGGTTACATGGATGGATGTGGCCGCATGGTACAAGTGACCATCCCACTCCGTGCCTGCGGCTGGCTATCTCATCCCATCCCATTCCGTCCCCCTGCTTCCCCCCTACTCGCTGTACAACTGCTCTTCCCACTCCAAGCCTGCTCCGCACACTACCCTCCAATCGTTTGCCTCATTTCCCTCCAATCGTTTGCCTCATTTCCCTCCACCCCCCCTTCCCCCCCCCCAACTACAACCCCTCCCCCGCTTTTCCCTTTCACCTTACTTCGTCAGGCTGGCTACATGGATGTGGACGCACAGTATAACCACTCATTCCACGCCATGCCTGCTCCCACCCTCCCTTGCACCATTACAGACAATGGTTTCCCCCCCCCTGCGTCCCTCCTGAACCCATCCCCCACGTCTCCCCTTATTAAAATCCCCAGGCTGGTTACATGGATGTGGACGCTCAATACAATCGCTCATCTCACGCCATGCCCGCTCCCCATGCGCCGTACCCGCATGGTGAGGGGGCGGGAGGGGAGAGAGGTGGTGGAGGGGGGAGTGGAGGGTCGTCGCCACACCACCCATCATACAGGGGAGGGGTAGGGGGAGGGGGAGGAGGGGATTACCGCGGGCACTACTCTCAGCGATAGTGGCCTTTCAGGCGCCTCAAAGGTCGTCGCCACACCTACAGAGGAAGAGACTACACGAGCATTTTTCATACCCATTCAATAACAGCGGTTATGGTGAGGTGGTCTTGCTCCGTTTTGGTGTGCAATACACCCTGTTTCCCTTCAGCTGTCCCTGCCCCAGGCCCCCAGCGTTGTAATTATCAGCCGGAAGAGCAGGAGTGGTGATGCGTGGACTTTTCCCACATTGCTCATCATGGGGAGGGGATTCATTTGGTCTGCTTCATGTGCTACTTATGTTCCAGTTTCCGGAGTTATAGCCACTTCCATATAAGGCATGGTTTGTAGTACTCACTAATGCATGTGCTGAAAGTGTACAATATTCATGTGTACCTGGTTCTAATGGAAACTTGCCAATACTGTGAAAGGGAGGAAAGTGAATCAGCATTTATGAAGTGTAACACTACACTCGAGGAAAGTCGTATCGGGTACGCGAGTCAACGGAGGTTACACGAGGAGGTTGGACGAAAGAATACGAAAGAGCGAAGGGACTCGAAGGGTCGCAACCGGAGGTTGCGATTGACCGTTGCGACTGCAAGGATGGTAACCGAACAGACAATCGAGTCGCTGTGCGACTCGATAACTGTTTTGTTCAACTGTATTCTACCAACTGCTTCACTTCTTATTTTCTATATATTGCTCTATGCTTGTTTCTTTTAATCAATCACTTGCTCTCACATACTAGTGCAAGGGTTCAACTACTCAACACTTCCGCTGCACTACTAAAGCATTTCATACAAGCGGGACTTAGTCTCTGAAAAGATCCTAGGGCTTTTCTCAGCCCAACATGGTATGAGAGCTGGTCAGAGACCAAACTCCCGTCAACAACATCCTATCTACAATCAGCACATACAAAAGCTTCATCGATTACAAGACATGGACAACAAGGGCAAGAATTCTTATACGGGCTCACCCAGCGCCCGAGCCACTCAACCCGGCACTTCTGGACTTCACACCTCTGGACTGCAAACCGAGACCGGCGCTGCTCAAGAAACAACAAGAAGAGTACCAGAAATAGTGACCCCTTCACCTGTCAAACATGTGTATTTGTCATGTTTGTATAGACTGTATAGGGTCGCCTCTTAGAGGGTACAACACTTAGGTATATCTGTGTGTACTCTCACTCTATCAATAATTCACTTCTCTAATTCTGATATGGTATCACGCGTAGGTTAGGATCCCCCCCCACCACCTACCGCTTCCGCTCGCCCCCCTAGCTCGGCCCCGCCGTGCCTCCCTCCTAGCCCCGTCGTGCCCCTAGCCCCGTTGCGACCCCCCTAGCCTCGTCGCGCCCTTCCTGTGCCCCGTCGCGCCCCTTCTGGGCCCCGTAGCGCCCCTCCTGGGCCCCGTCGCGCCCCTCCTAGGCCCCGTAACGCCCCTCCTGGGCCTCGTCGCGCCCCTCCTGGGCTCCGTAGCGCCCCTCCTGGGCCCCGTCGCGCCCCTCCTGGGCCCCGTCGCGCCCCTCCTGGGCCCCGTCGCGCCCTTCCTGGGCCCTGTAGCGCCCGCCCTGGGCCCCGTCGCGCCCCTCCCAGGCCCCGTTGCGCCCCTCCTAGGCTCCGTAGTGCCCCTCCTGGGCCCCGTCGCGCCCCTCCTAGGCCCCGTAGCGCCCCTCCTGGGCCTCGTCGCGCCCCTCCTGGGCTCCGTAGCGCCCCTCCTGGGCTCCGTAGCGCCCCTCCTGGGCCCCGTCGCGCCCCTCCTGGGCCCCTGTAGCGCCCCTCCTGGGCCCCCCCGTCGTGCCCCTCCTGGGCCCCGTAGCGCCCCTCCTGGGCCGCGTCGAGGCCCCCCTCCTGGGCCCCGTCACGCCTTCAGGCCCCGTCGCACCCGCACGGCCCCGTCGCACCAGCCTGGCCCCGTCACGCCTGCCCGGCCCCGTCGCACCCGCCCGGCCCCGTCGCCCCCTGCCCGGCTCCGTCGCAGCCGACCGGCCCCGTCGCACCCGTCCGGCCCCGTCGCGCCCGCCCAGCCCCGGTGCGCCCCTCCTGGACCACCGTCCTGCTCGCCCGGCCCCGTCGCACCGGCCCGGCCCCGTCGCACCGCCCGGCCCCGTCGCACCAGCCCGGCCCCGACGCACCCGCCCGGCCCCGTCGCACCAGCCCGGCCCCGTCGCGCCCGCCCGGCCCCGTCGCACCCGCCCGGCCCCGTCGCACCCGCCCGGCCCCGTTGCACCGGCCCGGCCCCTGCGCTCGTCCCTGCCCCGGCCCCGATCCTCCTCACTGGTACGGTTCTCCCCCCCCCCCCCCCCCCCCCCCCCCCGCCCTGCACTGCCCTGCACTGTACTGCCCCGCACTGCACCGCCCCGCACCACCCTGTACTGCCTGGCACCGCACTGCACCGCCCTACACCGCACTGCACAGCACTGCACCGCACTGTACCGTACGGCACCGCACTCCACCTTGCTGCACTGCCCTGCACCGCACTGCACTGTTTCTGATGGCGGCGGAGCTTCGCTTCGACGCTGAAGGCCAGCCTCTGGAGTTCGAGGCGTGGCTTGCCGACCTCCGTCACCAACTCACTGGCCAGCAGCAGGATGGTGAACCGCTTTCCGCACACCTAGACGGTACGCTCCCCTGCCCAGACCCCCCTGCTATTCTGCCCGCTGACTCCACACCCACTGAGCGCGAGTCCACTGCTGCCACTGCCCGTGCGCGCTCTGTCTGGCTTTCTCGCGATGCTGTCGCCCAGCTTGCCATTAGCGACGCCCTTCCCCCGTCCGAGCGCCCTCGCTTTAGGTCTCTCACTACTGCTCAGGCATACTTAGATGCTGTCATCCAGCGCTATTCCACCCCTCCGGCTACCTCGGTGGGTCGCCTGATCCTCCCGATGCTCTTTCCTGACCTTGCATCTTTCCCCACTGTCTCTGACCTCGCTGCCCACCTGCGCTCGATAGATGAGACCTGGCGCGCAGCCTGCACTGATGCACAGCTTAGAGCCCACCAGCCGCCCATTACCTCTACCCTCTACCTGCTTGCCACCCGCCTCCCTGACCGCCTTGCTGTCGCCCGCGACCGCTTCCTTAGCATTCACCCCGCAGACCTCACCCTCACTGACTTTGTAGACACCCTGATTGTGATAGAGACCCGTCACCGCTCCATCGCCCAGGCGAGCGGTGTCGTGCCGGTCCCTATCTTTCAGGGTTGTGCCCCCGCCCAGTGTACCTTCTCCGACGGCTCTGCCGTAGTGGCTGAGACTGCTGCTGCAGCGCAGTTTTGTTCGGGGAAGGGCCGCCGCCCCAAGGTTGGGCGCGGCGGAGGCGGCGGCGGGGGTGCGGGAGGGGGTAGTGGTGGGGTCGGGTTGTCTGGTGCTGGAGCGGACGAGGGGACCCTGCCCAGTCCAGCTGAGCTGCCGCCCCTGCAGTTGCAGCAGCCACAGCAGCTGCCGCAGTCGCAGCCTTCACAGCAGCCGCAGCAGCCGTCGCAGACGCGGCAGACGAGTGTCCTCCCGCCCGGGTGGCCCGGCGCTGGCGGTGGCCGGGCGCGTGGTGGTGTGCCGAGTGGTGGCTCTGGCGGCGGGCGTTGTCAGTACCAGATCCAGACCGGTCCTCGCCGCGGCTTCGTTTGCGGTAAGATCGGTCACTCCACTCCCCGCTGTTTTCGTCGCCTGGACGACCTCTTTCGTCAGCGCTTCGGCCCGTCACCAGACCTCCCGGACTGGCACAGTTTGCTTAGTCGTAAGATTCAGATTTTTGATATGGACATGGATGCCATTGTTTCTGCTCTGCATGTGATGTAGGCTGATGACTCTAGTGTGCTTCCCGCCTATTACTCACTGTTGCCTAGTGTAGGTGTGCCTAGCTTAGCCTCCCCTGCTGCGTCAGGCGTAGGATCCCCTGCTTTGTGTAGTCTTGGTGCTTCCGCCGTCGTTCCGTCGCCAGACGCCTCTGCTTCGCTTTCCTTCACCTTGGACTCTGGCGCTTCTCGGTGTTTCTTCCGCGACTCCACCACCCTGACGCTGCTTCCTGTTCCAGCTGCCGTTTCTCTTGCTCACCCCTCCGGCGGTCCGGTAGTCGCCCGCAGTTCCACCACCCTTCCCTGTCCGGCGGTTCCTTCGGGCTCTCTTACAGGTCTGCATATCCCCTCGTTCTCCAGGAACCTAGTTGGTGTCGGCTGCCTCCAGGACCTTGGCGTCACCACTACGTTCCCTGGTCACGAGCGGTATGCTGTCTGTACCGAGGCTGCCACTGGTGCCCCCCTGTCCACGTTCCCCCGGGACCCGGTGTCCGGCCTGTTCACTCTGGACACCGTGACCCCCCCGGCTGGAGCGCTCACCCAGGTTGCTGCTGCCTGCTCTTGTCGGTCTCTCACTCACCCGACCCTCCTTTGGCACCACCGCCTTGGTCACCCTGCGCTCCCGCGTCTGCGTCACATGTCCCAGCACGGTCTTGTCCTTGATCTCCCAGGTTCTCTCCCTGCGTTTCCCTCCTCCCCAGCCCCATCTTGCACGCCTTGCGTCGAGGGTCGGCTTCGCCGTGCCCCTCACTCCTCCTCGTTTCCCCCTACCGCCGCGCCGCTGCAGACCCTGCACCTGGACGTCTGGGGCCCCGCCCCCGTCCCTGGGCCGCGTCGAGAGCGCTACTTCCTTGTGCTCGTCGACGACTTCATTCGCTACACCACAGTCTTTCCCCTGGAGCGCAAGGCTGACGTGCCTGGCGCTCTCATCCCCTGGCTTGTCTCTGCGCGTGTCCACCGCGCTCTCCCTGTCTTGCGTCTCCACTCAGACCGTGGTGGCAAGTTTGCCTCAGGTGTCCTTGGTCGCTTTTGTCGTCCGGAGGGCATCACCCAGACGTTCACCCTACCGGACTCCCCACAGCAGAATGGGGTCGCTGAGCGACGCATCGGTTTGGTCAAGGGGGTGGCTCGCACCTCCATGATCCATGCCGGTGCACCCCATTTTCTGTGGCCGTTCGCTGTGCGCTACGCTTCTCACCAGCTTAACCTGTGGCCGCACCCTCAGCAGCCGCAGGTTTCGCCGACCCGTCTTTGGACTGGGTCTCCTGGTGACGCGTCTGCGTTCCACGTCTGGGGCTGCCTTGCTCATGTCCGTGCCTCCGGCACGGACAAGCTCACTGCCCGCACCCTTCCCTGCGTCTTCCTCGGTTTTCCCCTTGACGCGTCCGACTGGCACTTTTACCACCCGCCGTCTCACCACTTCTTTCACTCTCGTGACGTCACCTTTGACGAGTCCGTCTCCTACTACCGTCGCTTCTCCCACCGTGGTCCCCCGGTTACCCCCCCCCTGTTCCTGGTCACTCCTTCCTCGGTAGTCCCTGCCCCTCCTCCTCCTCCTCCCCGTCCCGCCCCCTCTGGTGTGTCCCACGTCACCCCCCTTCCGTCGGTGGACCCGGTTGAGGAGTCTTCTGACTCT